AAATATTAACCCATTTCTATTCATCTAACTACTTCCATGTGGTCTTATCTTACAGGAGAGAGGTGCTGGCGTTCTACTTTCTCCAGTCTCTCCATGCTGATTCCTCCCTACCACTTCCTCTCTCCTCCTAGTCTCCTAGTCCCACCTGTCTTGCTTTCCTATTGGTCAACAGTGCTTTATTCATTAACCAGTAAGAGAAACATATTTACAGAATGACATCTCCCATCATCTCCTCTTTTCTGTCTAAAATAAAAAGAAGGGATTTAACCTTAACATAGTAAAATATATAACAAAAGTTATCAAATAAGAACCACAGTTAACAATGTTCACTTCATTAACATTTAGCAAGATTTAAAGAAAATATTCCATCATCTATCCTATCTTTATGAGTTTGAAGTCCTATATTTAACTTATTTTTAATCCTAAATAAGGAAAACTATAACCATAACTATCTGTCTTCAACTCCCTCAAAGACTGCAGAAGGATAATATATAAACTCTAGAAATGACAGAGACAACTCGCCTGGTCAGTCACCCGAATTTCTTCTGTAATGTTCTATCTTCAGCCTATATATCCTGTAGGCACACTCCTCAGCAAAGCAGGAAACTTTAAACTGTCCATCTGTATTGGCAGTTTGTCAGTCACTGTTCTCTGTGTCCTGCAGACTGTCTGGCAGACTCTTCCATGAAGCAGGAACCCTGTAGCCATGTCCATCTTGTATCAGCAGTCACTTTTCTGTGAGTCCTGCATGTCCAGTTTATACATCATAAAGTCAAACAGTCCAGATAAGAGCAGTATCTTGCTCAAATGGCTAGTCTTGCCATATTGAAAGATAACTCCTTAACATGTTTCCTCAAGGTCCATCTTCCTTTCTGACGCTGGTGGTATTGCCAGGAGCAGTTGTGCCTCATTGTTAAGAAAAACCCTAAACCAATTTAAATGCCATATTCTGTAGGTCTTTGAAAGGTTTGCAGAATGCCTAGTCATCTCAAATACATGTCTGTATATCTAGAAATCTTAACTAAAGTTTTGACTGTTATAGGTAACTATACATTACATTTCTAAATGAGCTATATAAACACAATACCTAAATAAGAGAAATGTACATATCACAAATTGACCTTAAATTGTATCAATAAATGAAAATCCATTCTAATACAAAGTATTCATATCTATAACATAATCTCTTTTATACCTTTAAAGAGATATTGGTTGTGATTATTAACAATTTATAACCAAGTCCATTTAAATGAAAACAAACATTTATAAACTATATTTGGGGATTTGGGCTTTGTTCTTTCTAAACTTCTTCCTGCTGGTAGGGGATGCTGTTATGGGGATCCTAAGAAGACACAGAAATCCTGGCTGTAGTCTGTAAGGCTGCCTTGTCCCAACTGTTTTTAATGTTGGATCACCTGGGATGCTGTTTCAGGGGGTCTTCCTTGATCAAACCATGTTCGTCTGGAGGGAATCCACAGCTTTTCATTTTCTTTTCCCCCAGTAACCTGTTCATAGACTTATTGGAGTCAAAGCATTTTTAAAATATATAAATTGAATTAATCCAGCAGTATTTCTTTTAACAGTTGTTATTTCCTCAGCTATCAAACAATTTAAAGACAACAGAATAGCGTATAGTATCCAAAGTTTCTCTGTGCTTTTCATCTTTACGTGGCTTTTTTATTACTCTACTCCTTTTCTTTTCTTTTTTTTTTTTTTTTTTTTGAGACAGGGTTTCTCTGTGTAACTTTTATCTGTCCTGGAACTAACTCTGTATACCATGTTTACTTTGAAATTACAGAGATCCGCTTATCTCTGTCTCCCAAGGGCAGGGATTAAAGGTGTGTGCCACCAAACCTAGCTACTTTCTGTCTTTTTAAAACCATTTTATTCTTTTTCTCTCCCAAGCCTACATATATTTTAAAACACACTGTAAAACTTTAGAGGTTTTTCTTAATCTGAATCTGCCTTTACTGTAAATCTTTATCTTTTTGTGTCCATGAGTCTTTTATCTGGTAAACAACAACATTGCTAAAATGAAAGCCACAGCTCTGTTAGCCGTAATCTATCCAAGATTGTGGCGGATACTTTTACTGCCTGAACTGAGAGCTGTGCTCACTGCCTTGGTCTACACTGCCATCCAACAGCATGCTGCTGGCTTGGAGTTGTTGTCACTGTCATTGCCAGCTCTTGTATACACCATTCAGTTGTTAGCAGAGCTCTTTAAAAGCCTTCTGGTTTTTTTCCGCTTACGCTGAGTCAGGAAACCTCCCTTAAAGGAGACATGCAATCTCTGCTTGTCTCTAGCAAAATAGGTCCAACTGAGAAAAATGCTGCTATCAAGAAGCCTGGCTTGTCTTTGTTCTTTTTTTTTTTTTTTTTTTTTTTCATGGAGGTACATATTTTTCTTTTCTTTTTTTTAAATTTATTTTATATAACAAAGTCCATTTAAATGAAAACAAACATTTATAGACAATATTTGGGAATTTGGGTGTCGTTCTTTCCAAACTACTTCCTGCTGGTAAGGGGCACTGTCTTGGGGGATTCGAAGAAGATTTAGAAATCCTGGCTGTAGTCTGTAAGGCTGCTTTGTCCAGCTGTTTTGAATGTAGGATCACCTGGTATTCTGTTTCAGGCGGTCTGGCTTGATCAAACCACATTAGTCTGGAAGGAATCCACATCTTTTCATTTTCTGTGGAAACAAAAATAGAAATCCTTTTCCCCAGTAACTTGTCCTTCAACTTAAATTTTGGAGTCAAAGCATTTTTTTTAATTTAATTTATTATTTTACATGTCGATCCCAGTTCCCTCTCCCTCCCTCCCTCCCTCCCCCCCACCGTCCCTCACTCCTTCCCTCCCTTTTACCCTCTCTGCCCTCTCACATGCACTCTAAACACCCTCCCCTCCCATCCCTCCACCCCAATTCCATATGTAGGGGAATGCCATCCAGTTGGGGTCATGTAGATCTGACAGGTCATGTGAAGTAGGGACTAGGGCTTCTCTCCTGTCTCTAGATTAAGGCAGTTATCCCTCCATGGGGGATATGTTCGCAAAGTCCTTTTGTGTACCAGGGATACATCCTGGCTCCACTGTCTGAGATCTCTTAGACTGCTCAGTCCTTCTGGCTGAGAGCCATATTCAGGGGGGCCTGAGTCAGTCCCATGCTGGCTTCCCAGCTATCAGTCTGGTGGCCCGTTAGCTCCTCCTTGTTCAGGTCAGCTGTCTCTATGTGTTTCTGCCGCATGGTCTTGTCCCCTCCATCTGCATCTGGGTTCTAGTTTGACTCAGTGTTTATGTATGGGTTGCCAGGTTGCAGCACCATTATGTTATGAGTATGTTTTTTTTCCTGCTGGTCTGGTCCCTCTGCTGTGCCAGCCCCAAATAACACACACAGAGACACTACATTAGATAAAAAGCTGGTGGCCTGTTTCTAATGTTTCTTATTGGCTGGCATTTCTATTAATCTAAGTATTTCCAGGTGGTCTTATCTTACTGGAGGGGCTGGTGTTCTTCTCTCCATGCTCCATTTTGAATCTCCTCCCTCCTACTTCCTTTTTGCTCCTTGTCTCCTAGTCCCACCTATTGGCCAACAGTGCTTTATTCATTAACTAGTAAGAGTTAATAATAATAAGTAAACATATTTACAGAATGACATCTCCCATCAGGCCTTATGCTCTCGATCTGAATTATAGGCATTTCATCCTTGTGGTCCAGTGTGTTTAGTAAATCTCTCTTTCCTGTTGTTGGTTTAATTAGGAGGTACATTGGAATTCCTGGTTCCACAGTGGCAGGGATTTTTTTCCCCCAAAAGAATTACTTTGTTTAGATAAACTACCATTGTATACATTTGTAGCCTTTACCAAAGCCTGCACAAAATTTCCCAAAGGGAAAGGTGTCAATAGTGGGAATCATTAAAAATGAAAGTGAGAAGTGTGCTGGAGAAGAGAGGTCAATAGGCTGGAACTTGGTCGAGCAGCGTGATCGCCATGCCACATGCTCATGACATTTCGGCTAAGATCACACTACGTTTTTCTGTTTGAAAGGCTTTTTCATTGACTATTTTCCAAAGTAATATGATATAATACTTGTGAATTTAAAACATTCAAACTAAAGCTGACCATGGTAGTTGCTACGTACCACTAGGGTGATGCTACGTACGACTGGAGGGTTAGAGGAAGATTGAAAGTAGGTCAGTTTGAGCTGCAAACTTGAATCTGCATTTTGATCTGGTATAAATCTACAAGCATGTAAGTTTATGCCATTTTCATGTAAACAGGCTGATAATGCCACTCATTTGGTAGTGTTCTTGCCTATCATGCACAAAGCTCTGATTTAGTCTCTGTGGCCACACAAAACCAGATTTGTTGGTGCTTGTCTGTGATAGGAGTACTGTAGACATGGAGATAGGAGGAGAAATTTAAGGCCGTCCTTAGCTACCTAGTGAGTTCAAAGTTTGCAGGACTACTTGAGATCCTATCTGAAAACAATTGTTTTCCCTTTCAAAACTCAAAGTTGTGGGGGTCTTTTGTTTGTTTGTTTTTAAGTACTAACTATGTAGTTGGTAGAGTCATGTGCATGTGTGTGTATATATATATATATATGTATATATGTATATATATGTATATATATTTATATATATCATACATAATTATACATGTATAATTATGTACACACATATATCTAATACATAAAACATTTAAATAAAATTGTATAATTTATGTTTAGTACAACTTTTGCTAAAACTGTAAAATATATGTTCTAACATTTATTTTTCCATGTTTTTATGTAATATATTTTCTTGGTCTGGTTTTCAAAGTTTTGGATTTAGTGTTCCTTACACACATAGACTTTAGTAAATGTTCTTTCACATTTTTTTAATATTTTTCTTTTCATAATAAATGAGGCATAGTCTTGCCTAAAGTCATTTGATTTATAGTTTTAAGTTAACATTTGAGGTCCTAATTAAAGATAATTTATTTTATGCCTTTTTTTTTTTTTAACAGAACACACTAAATATAACAAACAACAACTATTATTCGGTTGAAGTTGAAAATATCACTGCTCAAGTTCAGTTTTCAAAAACAGTTATTGGAAAGGCACGCTTAAACAACATAACTAACATTGGCCCACTTGATATGAAGCAGGTAAGCCTCAGTTGGGGGACAGTCTGAGTGAGTTAAGTGGTCCTTCACCCTGTGTATTATAAAATGGAATGACTTGGGGATGTCCCCAAAGACTTGGACATGTGTTCCTCAATAGTATACTAAGGTCATCAAAGAAAAGATTTCTAACTTGAAAAGTTTTGATTATGTTTAGTATTTGGATCCTATCCTCTTTTGATGTTTTATTGTTTTTGCTTTCAGATTGATTATACGGTACCCACAGTTATTGCTGAAGAAATGAGTTACATGTAGTAAGTATTGATTTTTAGTAACTTTACCCTTTGTAAAGGTAGTTCAGGACTTACAAAAGTCTTTATTTTCAGGATATGAGGATTATATCACTTATTTTTACTTACCATTTAGTTACAGTATATTCATGGTGCTTCAATATAGGAATACTGAGATCTCTAATAGATAATAATACTCTCTTAGGACTTGTAGTTCTAATGACATTTGAATTTTGCCTGTCTATGTATGTTGTGTGTGTGCTGCATGTGTGAGGATAAGCATACCCATGCATGCATTTTTTGGAGGCCAGGGTTGAAGTTGAGTGTTTTCCATTATTAGTTTACCTTTTCCTTAAGACAGCATCTGTGACTAAGAACCTAGAGTTCATTCATTTGGTGATGCTGGCTGGTTAGCAAGCCCCTAATTACCTGTCCCTGACCACTAGAGACTTACAAGTACATCCTGCCATGCCTGGCTTTCAACCTTAGTGCTTGATATTGAAACTCAAGTCCTCATGCTTACACAGCAGGCTTTTACATACTAAGCCATCTCCCCAACACATCTGATGTATTCTTAATAGTGTCTTGCCAGGCACAGTTAAATGGGCCCATATTTCCAGCTATTAAAGAGGATGAGATGGGGGAGATTATTGAGGCCAACCTACACAACATAGTATTTCTTTGAGATTCTATCTCTAAGAGAAAAAAATAAAAGTAAAACAAAAATCAGTATTAGGTTTAACAAAATTTTTGGTTAATAATGTAATAATATTCTTCCTATTTTAATTTCTTTTACAGCGACTTCTGTACACTGGTCTCCATCAAAGTACACAACATAGTACTCATGATGCAGTAAGTATGACCATGTTTGCAAAACTAGTTCTTGCTAAGATTTGAGTTTATAAAGTCTTGTAGGATGTACATCTCCAAGAAAGCCATCTCAGAGGGCCTTCAGTCTTACAAGAGTACTGTGTAAAATGTAAATGTTTTCCCACTTAGCTAGCCAGAGTATGGTTGTTCAGAGACATAGTTAAATGCTGCCAGGCATTGTTGGAGTTCAGGAAAATGGCAGGGTTAGCACAGAGAGATTGGGCTAACAGCTGTTCATTTTTGCTTGCTAAATAAACTTATAGCAACAAGGAGGAATAATGCTTTGGGTTTATAAATTGTGTGTTACTTATGTATATACAATATTGGTTTTATTTTATATTTTGGTCAGTGATTGACATTTAATTTTCCTATGAGGGAACAATGTGATTCTTTTTAATCTATTTTTAAGTCAAAATAACTATTTTAATTATATTTATAAAATGTAGTTTATAAATATGTTTTATATATTTATAAAGAAATATAAATGTTTGTTATATGTTTATCTATACTTATTACTTAAGCAGATAATTGGGTAGGGTTTGCTCAGTAACACTTTTGGATCTGTTGAAATATTCCTTAGAATCCCATGTCTATAATATTGTCATCATTAATACCAAATTCAAATGATCAATAACTGATAATTATAATTCATAACAAGTAATTGTAGGACATTAGTTAACTTATGAGTTATATATTCATATTCCCTTGATTTTAACCTCATATAATCCCTTTGAGATAGTTTTTACATATAACTTGAATATTTTTTCTACTTACTTCATTTTTAGAGTAACTGTAACAACAACATACTTTGGACACTCTGAGCAAATATCTCAAGAGAGGTACCAGTACGTTGACTGTGGAAGGAACACGACTTACCAGTTGGCCCAGTCTGAGTATCTAAATGTACTTCAGCCACAACAGTGAAGTCTAAAGGAGATGGCATAGAGCAGATAACACACCTGAGACATGTTCAGAACTGCCAGTGAGGAGGTACTGCCCAGGACACCTTGATTTGAGCATGTCTAAAATTTACAACAGGACACTGAGGGTTCCAGGACTCTCATTCTGTGTTGATGATTTGCTCATACCAAGAGCCTTTCCTCAATCGTAAGTTAACTGATTGGCTTTCTTCTTAAATTAGTTCCCAAGGTGAAAAACTGAGACTTCCTCTAATACAATAAATAATTATATAAAAGTCATAGACTTAATCTATAGTCCTATTTATAATATAGTTCAGTCATGAACATAATTTGAAAAGTAACTTCTGAAAGTTTTTATATTAAATTACTGAAAATCCATTACTCATGGAGGACTTTTAAAAACTAACCTGTTTTATAAATCCTCATTCTTATATGATGGTAGTCTTTCAACTATATGATAATGTTGCTATTAGCTAAATGTTTTTAGCCTTTAATTTGTTGAAATTCTACTGATTTGCATGTTTTTGTCTTATTTTTAGCTAATGGTCCATAATATTTACCTTAATTCTGTTCTACATTTTGTAAGAACCTCTCCATATGTGCTCCATGTATAGTTTTGTGAAGTTTTTGTGTGACCATCAAACATACCCCCTTGTGTACAGTATTGTAAATAAACTGCATGGCTTTTATACAGCTTTGATAAATGTCAAAGTGAAGTGGTACTGAGTAAAACAAATAGTTCAAAAGATTAAAGTAGGAAAATGAAATTCAGAAATGTATAAAGTATCAGTAGGTTCCAACTACTTGTTGGATATGGCATAAAATAGATATATAGTAAAACACTTTGATGCTTTACTTTTATGTCCTTTTCATATTAAGAATTATATAGATATTTTCATAATGATTGGGTATCATCAATGTAATGAATGATTTATGGAAGGAAAATTTTTTTACTAGAAATTATTCTAGAAATCCTTTCATTTAACACTGGTGGCTACATCAAAATAAACCTGTAGTTTGCTTTGAAATTTTTAATTGTTGTATATCATACTGATTTGATGCTTCTGCAGGCCCATAAGTATTCCCTTTTTACTTTAATTTCATCTAACATTGTTTTCAAGTATGATGGATGTATTCATCTTTTGGCTTATATTTCCAATGTCATTTTCTAAAAGGTGTTTTTCCTTAGTCATTCAGAAAATTCTATAGCCCCTTTAAAATATATAACATTATTCATAAGAGCTAAGTATGATAACCAGGCTAATTTTTTATTTTTTTAACTCATGACAGAAATTGGGTTTTCCTTTTCCCATTCCCAAGTGCCTACCTTAGTTATAGTGAGTAGCCTATTTATCAGTCCAGTTCTCAAGTACAAAACATAAATTTTCATGGTTTAATCATGCCCCTTAAGCACACCCACATCTTCCCTTAGCTTTCATACCATATTCCCCATGTGAGTGAACATTGCAAGTATCCTTTTTGTATCTTGCCTTCGTCCAGTGTCCTTCCTGTCATGCCAGGTCATTCATTCTCTAGTCTCACCAGTCTGTGGGAAGTTTTCTTTTCCTGGGCTTGCTGGTCATGCCACCCCACCCCACCCCATATTCATACTCCTTCAGTTGCAACTGTCCAGTTGTGCTTACACTTTCCAAATTAAACTCATTTCATTATCTGTATTCTCTCATTTAGGCATAACCAGTGTCAGTGAGTCATCTGGTTTTCCTTTGGTCTAGAAATGTTTAATCCTGTCACTTCAGAGTTACTGGTATCTTAATTAGGCCTCCAAGTCTGTGTCTCTTCTTGACCAGTAACAGTGTAGTTTCATGTTTACTAAGTTGAGTATCTTGGTGACTCTCTCTGTGTAAAAAAACAAAGTGTAAAGAAATCTTTTTGTGATTTCTCTTGATCATTGTCCCTATTTTTCATGGTATACAAAATCATCATTTATTTCTCCAGAATCAACCTGTACATATGGATCACATAATCACTTTCTATGTTCTTTCTGTTTGCATTTTAGTCAGGGTATCACTGTCAGTAAGGAAGTTTGTTTTTACCTTCTAGAATGATGTGGAAGGTGGAAGGTCCGAAGAGGCAAAACAATGGTGCAGCCACTAGAAGCTGCTTTGCTCCGAGTGACTCAGCTTGAGAACCTTTTAACTCTTTAAAATGTGATTACATCTAGACATGTAGGCTTAATTTCCAACTTTGGTGATGTTTGAGACATTAGGGAAAGAAAAAATAAAACAAACAAACAAAAAACCACTTGAAATTTAAACCCAAGTAAAAGGTAAAAAACAGAGAGATGCAGTATGCCTGTGATGATTCAAGGACAATTAAGTAACTACTGGGTAAGCCAGGTGATAACAAGTTGCAAGTTAAAACTAAAACAAAATAAACAACAACAGAACCCTTACTTTGGAGAAGCCTAACAGTAGCTATGAAAGCATTTGCAAGTACAATGAGGCTTTTAGCTTTTCTTAGGTCAATGCTGAGTCTGGCTTTTGGCTTGGAGAAAGGGTAGGTATTAATATATTTTTATGAGTACCTTCACAACTTAGCCAGGCACATGATGAAGACATTATAGTGTTGCTTCATACTCTCAGAAGTGAATTCTGTTCTACCCTCATCCAGCCTTTAGGTGGATGCTGTGTAACACGCTGGCTGTTGCTCCTCTGTCTGCTTTTCTTAGGTGATTTCTCACCAGTATACTGAGAGGATTTGCTTTAAAATTGAATACTAGTAAATACCTTCATTGCAGACAGAACTATGTTCTTTGTCTCTAATATTTGTGCCCTTTCATTTAAAATAGCCACCAGAAAGCCATGTTAAATAAGCTCAATGCAATTAAAAATTAGAAGTGGGCAGCAAAATGGTTCAGTAGATAAGGATGATTGCCACCAAGGCTGATAATCCATTTCTGAATCTCACAGCAGAAGGAGAAAACTGACTCCTGCAAATTGTTTTCTGATGTACCATGTGGGTATGCACACACACACACACACACAGAGAGAGAGAGAGAGAGAGAGGGAGAGAGAGAAATGCATGTAAAAAGTAGGATCAAAGTTCTTGAAGTTGATAGTAATGGGCTAAAATTTTGGTAACTTTTGAATTGCTAGCTGAAATATTTCTCAAAGTTAATTGAACAATGTAGAAAACTATAGAGCCAACTCTGCCTGGAACTTAATTTTTGTGTTAATGTTTAATACTCCTCAATAATTCTAATAAAAATAAGTCTGACATTTTCAGTGTGAATTATTTATAAATAAGATTATTACATTTGAAATTTGAAATACACTATGAAAATATTAGGCATAAGATAAATTCCTTGAAATTGCTTGAAAGACCATCTTGACTGAGGCATCATTTAATATGCCATAACTTTATTTTGTGCTCCATTTTCTTTTGATTCCTGTTTACTTGGGTTTAATGAAGTAGTTATTTTCTGTGGAAAAAAAGTTACAAGAATGAAATATAACTCAATTCAGAACTTGTAACTTGCACTTAGGAAATGGCATTCTAGCATAAAAGGGGATAGGAGGTGACATCAACACACAGGATAAGTAACATCTTAGGAGCCTTGAGACTTGGCCCTAATAAGTCCTCTTTGGTTCTTAGCCTTATTGGGATGTAATGTTGGATATTATGTTGACAGATGTGTTGCTGAGTCTTTGTCATTGTTTGTTCTTTAAAGGAAAGGGCTTAAGTCAACAGGTATTTACACAGTGCTTCTTATTTTAGAAGATCGTTCATTCATATACTTCCAAATACATTTTCTGTCTTTGACCTACAGTGTGAGCTGAACTTGAAGTTGTTGATGTGTAATCAAATGGTAAACTGGGTGAGAGTTTGAGATCACTAAAGTGCAGCAGGTGCATGGATCAGAGAACATCTTAGAGGGCTCAGCTGGATGCCTCTCATTTTTTGTGAAATTGGGTTTTAAATGAGATACTTAACTTTTTAAAGAAAAAAATACTACATACCAGAGATAGTTGGATAAGAATCATTACTCAAAGTTTTATTTTCAGTTGAAACATACATTTGTGATATACTTGGATCAAAAATTTAAATTCTATATCTGAGATCTATTTACACAGCAATATTCAGTCAGTTTCTAATTGGAACTACATTGTGTGTGTTTAGCTTACTTAGATAACAGCTTTCACGGATGAATTTTGAAGCTTATCTTTGAGATTTACCAACAATGATGTGGTTACTATGGGAACAAAAAATGGAATTTCCATGTTTTAAAATGCAATTCCTTTAGTAGTTCTTTGTGCACATTTAACACAGAGTCCAAGTTGAAGAAAATAGTGTGGGTTGGTGTTTGACCCTCAAAGCCCTGCATAGATAACTTAGCAAAATTATGAAAAGATTTTCATAGTTGAGTCTCACTATTCTAGAAGGAAATTGTTGCCTTCTGTTTAATTACATTAATTGAAATGTGTTTAAGAGAAATGTTTTCAGGATATTTTGTATGCTGTAAAACACAAAAGAATAGTATTGTGCCAATGGCCAAAGGTAATATTACTACCATGTAGATGATGAAAGTTCAAATTAACCAATTCACCCAGAATTTTAGAAACTAGAAGTCTGGGGGATACTGCATCAGCTGTATTGGGTGATTCTTGAGTACTGTACAGGCTGTTCATCTTGTAATTGTCCAGGAGGAGGAGGAATGATGCCTGGCACGACCAGATGCAGAATTTCATTGCACAGAGGCTGGCTTCAGACATAAAGCATCAGCCAGTCATGCCTGTGTGGTTTATCTTGTAATTTCCTTTTGAACTAAACTAAGAAGGTTTGGGGAAATGATTTAGGAGATCTCCTGATTACACACATGACAGTATTACTAAACTCTAACAGTCAATTCAAATTGTGGAATAGAGAATGTAAAATATCTTATGTATACTTGCTCTTTAGTTGCCTCCATCATGGAACATCTATTAAATTTACTATTTGTATAGTTCTGAATTATAGTTATGATCGCTGTTCATATAGGGAAAAGTGGTTATAATAGGAACAAAAGAATAGACATGCCCCCCAATGCTATTTTTTAAATTCACTTGTAACTGTTACTCTTATACTTATGTATGACAAAATAAAATTTGTAAAAACATTTTAGCATGAAAAATAAACTTTGTATCAACAAATTCTTTGACTTATGCTTTTGAAATTTTGGAAGTATAGATACTTTAGTCCCAAGAGCTCTGTAGAGTCTTTGACTTCTCTCACCTTGATCCATCCTAGCTTCCATTTTGTCCTCAAGGTCTACTCCATTCTACCAATGCAATATCTCTCAACTTGTATGTATGGAATCTCTATTGCACTATTCCCTATTTTTTTACAGGAAGAAATAAATAAAAATTCTCTGTCCTTCCTCTGGTGTTGAAACCCTGAATTATTGATCACACCCTAACTTTACACCCGATGTCTACCAGCAAAGCTGCAAGCTGTGTCATGACTTGGGAACATGCTTCAGCCCTTTGCTCATTCCATACATTTCCTAATAAAAAATTCTATATTCACTTATTCTAGCCTGCATCCTATCTTCTTTATTACTCAGTTCATCTCAACTCCTTGCTCCCTTTCTTTCAAATGGATTTGCAGTTATGTGCTTTTAAATTAGTTGCTTAATCGTGAAGGAAAAAAAAAATTACATTTGAACCTAAAATGTGTTTTTAAAAAACTGAATATCAAAGTTTTTAAATTTTTTGTTTAGGTTGACATTTATTCAAACACCGTTTCTCAACATAGAGTTTTAATTTTAAGCACAGGTTTAAAATGCTCTACAAAATAGAATGAGCTGAGGTTAGATGAGCCCTGCCCTGAAGTATATTGGAAGAATAACGAAGAAAAAATAGTGTTTGTTTTTACAAGTCTAATTTTTTTTTTTAACTTTGACAGTTTGTGAATTGGAAAGATGTGACAAATTGATGAGGCTTTTTATTCTGGTAAATTTCAGTTCTTTGGTCAATGTTTTTGTGTTTTTTAAGATGTAACTTTTAGTTTTCAACACAGCATATTGTATAGGACCTCAATTTGTGACATTATGTCTGCCTTGATTTAGTGAGGGACAAAAGACCCAACAATTGCAGACAATTTTAATGATCAAGAAAAGTGTTTTGCTATACCATGATTGAACACATTTAAGCTTAAATGTATGTTTCACAAAGAGCTTTCAAAATGAAAATGAAGTATGATCTTTACTTTCTGACAGATGGTTTTCTGCTTTTAGCCTAATGTTTAATCTCGAAAGGGAAATTTTTAGAAATTTGTACAGTGCGTTATATTTTATGATTATATCATAAGTCAAATTTTGCTTTTTTTATCCAGTGCTATAAGCACTTAGCCATCACAATTGGCAAAACTTGTCTTTATTTCATAAACTCAAGATCCAGGAATCGGACACAATATTTATAGCATTTTTTTAATGTCACCCTAAACAAATCAAGTGCAAAATGAATCCTGAACCTAAATGTAAAAGAATTTTTTTCCCAATGAAACAAAATTAACTTTTGTCTTATAATTTTGGGGGCCTCTTTAGAGTAAACATAAATGAACCATCAATGAGACATCAACAGTCTAAAATTGATTTTTTAAAAGAAGGTCACATATGGTCCCTTTCACTAAAAGTGTTTGTAGAATACAAACTGTCAAATGTCTGAAATTCAGGCTTGAGAGATAGTTCAATGTTAAAGACTGCTTTCCGTGCAGCCATAAAGACCAGAATCAGATCCCAGCACGAGCCTGTAACTCCATCTCTGAGGGATGAGGATGGTCATTGGTACTTGCTACATTTCAGCCAAGCCAAGCCAACACAAGCCGAAAGTTTAGGAAGAACCAGCTTCCAAAGGAATAGGTGGAGAGTGATAGAATAGTTCTCCCAGTGTCTTCCCATGGTCTCTACATGTGCATGCTACCTTGACCTCCTGACACACATGTGCATATACTCAGGAACACACAAATCTTTAAATATCTGAGCTTGTTTACTTGTGTTCTACCTGGATAGGTTTTTGTGTGTGTGAGAGGGTGGGTGTTGTTTGTTTTTTATATTTTGTTTTTTTTTAACATAAGGAATTTCCTAAAATGAAAATATTTAAATATTATTTGTCACAATTAACTTAAAAACATAACCTCAAACCAATATCTTTCAAAATATTAAAACAGTGACTGTTGGTGAGTTCATACCTAGATTAAAAATAAAGCTGATCATACAATTGTACACCCATTATTCTAGCTCTCAGAAGAACCAAATCCAAAGGATCACTGAATCTCAGATGTTTGAGACCTGCCTGGGCAATATAGTGAGGCACCCCACCTCCAAAATTCCAGAAATTATATGCTTTTAGAACCTGTAAACTATGTGTTTGCCTGTAATTTTCGTGCTTTCCACTTTTTTGTAATACTTAGAGCTACATAAAATGCTGTTGACTTATTTGTCTTTCTTTGGTGTGCTTATACTACTACACAGTAATTGTTTTAGGGTTACAATTGATGTGATGATACATCATGACCAGGGCAACTCTCATAAAAGAAGCGTTTAATTGGGGTTTGCTTACAATTTCAGAAGGTTAATACATGACCAGCATGCCAGGGATAGCGGTGGGACAGACAGGGATGGTGCTGGAAAATAGACGAGAGCTACATCCTGATCTGCAGGCAGGAGGAAGAGAGACACCGAGCAGGCTTTTAAACCTCCAAAGCCTTCACCTCCGATTTTTAAAAATTTCAAATGTGCCATCTGTAATGTGATCCAAAGTCAGGAGTCCCCAATTACAAACAAGCCACACAGATGACTGGGCTAAGAGTACTATGAGTTAGTTACATCCATCCTAATGGTGCAGACACTTGGATGAAATATTATATTTGTGTTTGAATCCTGTTTATTGATACTATTTGCATTTTGGAGAAAAAGTTGATGGTTATCCTAACAGGAAAACTGGGAAATGTGTCTTGTACTACTTATATCAGGAAAAGTTTCTGCAGCTTACCTGCAAAGCCACACTTGAACATCCTTTTTTTTTTGGGGGGGGGGAGTTCCCCCTCCAAAGTAATACAGAGTTTTTCTGTATTGCTTTGAAGGCTGTCCTGGAACTAAAGGTGTGCACCACCAACACCTTTGTGACTCATAACATTTGCATTTGAAGTTTTAATTTTAACTTTGTAATAATAAAAATGACCCATTGCTTTGATGAAGGCTGGTAGGGTTTCGACTTAAGTCTGTTCCCACCACTATGAGATCTAGTAAAAACGAATGTATTTTGTAAGCAATCCTAGAACCTCCCTTAAAATAATGAGGTAATAGGTACTAGAGTTTTGAACCAATGAACTAACTGCATGACAAAGTGTCAGGTTACAGTGATAAACAAATAAACATATACACTCTGTTAAAGCAAAATGAAAATGTAGTCAGCTAAGAAAAAAAAATGTCTTAACAAACAGTATTTTAACACTAGCTTTGGGCCTGGGATTGGCTTGGTGTTTCTGAAATCAAACCCTAGCACCACAAAGGGTGTGGGAACTCACAAAATCTCCCCTGGTCATGATTGTGAATATAGACAAAACTTATTTCTGATAAAGGCTTGTTTTAGATAAATATAAAAACCTCAGCTAATAATAAGTAGCCAACTAGGATGGTTATGTAACTGGGGACTTTCCAGCTAGATAAATTTTTGGCACGTTTATTGTTTATGCAGAGTTGGAAATTAAACTTGAGGCTTCATGCTTGCTGGACAAGCATTCCACTGAGCTAGATCCTCAGCTCTAAATAATTTATTTTCCTACTAGAAAATTCTGACCTTTTGTCACTGGCCCTCTATTCTGTTGCACATTACCCAATTCATGAATTCCTTATTCAAACTCGAATGTTACTACAATTTCTGTCTAAAAATGTATCTTAAGAGTCTACAGCAATTTAGTATGCAAAAAGAAAGTGGCCCACATTCTTTTTTATGTAGGAGGTACTTTGCCTTCCTCTGTTCATCCTTACTCACATTCGTCTTGTTATGAACAAGCCAGAGTTTAAACGTTTTAAAAGGGATATGAGGTAAAGATGATGCTAAGGAATCAAACCGAAGCTATCCAAGCAGATGAGCCTCTATGAATAGCAGGGAGTGTGCCAGCCTTCTGATGGCCATCTGCATTTTGCAATGGCTGACCATCTCTGAGCATCCTCGTTGGTCTTTCTTCATAAGTTGAACAGATACGTTGTGTGTAAGCTATGATTGGCAATGGTGAGCAGTGCTATACATTTAAAGAATGATGAAGAACATATCCTGTCTTATTCACCCTACTAAATTCGATATAAGGTATCTAGTGTATTTCCCATCTTTTGTTAGGATAGATAATATGATCATACAGTTGCTTATTTTTCCATTCAGTCATCTCTGGATCTTAGACCTACCTTTATCATTTCACATTTTAAAGGCAAATATCTTAAAACATACATCTCCATAAATATCAGTAGTAAGACAACAGATTTTCCTGACAACCATGTTGTATGTCGCTGCACTCAGTGAACAGGAACACTGACAAGGAGCCCAGAAAGACAGCCTCTCTACAGGTGAACCACATAAAACACCAAGATTTATAAATGCTAGAAGCACACAACATTTTTGTTTTTGTTTCTATTTTCTAATTGAAGAAGTTCTCAGAGGCATTTCCACAATAAGCATTTTTATTTAGTTTATCTAGAACTACAGACAAAAATATTGGCAGCAGGCTGCCACTCTGAATTTCTTTATAAACCGCCTATTTAAAGTTTTAGACCATTCACTCTAATAGGATTCCAGTTGAGCTGCAGAAGCATTTAACCAGGCCAGTTGGCTGTATCCAGAATTAATTGGAACTCAGACTCCTGCAAAAAACAGATGTATTCAACTGTAATTATTTTGCAAGGCTAACTTATTTTGTAGCTTAAAGGTTGAAACATGAAGGCAGCATTGCACCTTGCAGGCTAGCTCTTTCTTTGAGCAATACTTTTCATTTCAGGTACTAGGTAATATAATCACATGATTATTTGGATTACAATTTTAGCCCAAACTAAAGACCGAATTTGAAAACTGACACAGATTCCAATCTATTTATTTCAAGTCTTGTGTGGGAGGGAAGGTTTGGGACTAAAGACTCCTATGGGTTCTTCTAGCCTTCT